AGCCTCCTAAACAATCTACAACTGCTGCTGCGCGAAATGCCACAAGTTGAGAGTTATTTTCTCTTACCGCCATAGCCATAGCGGTTAACTCCGCTGTTAGGGCGGAATTTATCACCGCGCTAGTTAATTCGTCATGTGACTGGATAAATTGGCCAAACGCACGGTCGGTTCGTGCTTGTGAGCTGGGCTGGGCTGTTCGTATAGGAACTGCGTCTTGAAGGACGGTAGGTGTGTCTGCAGACCTTCCCCTGTATGGGTAACAGGACGGATCACTGCGGCTGTCTTGAATTCCCTGTGGGTAATCGTCCAGGTTGAAACCGGGGTCTTCAACGTCTTGTAGGTGACGGTCGCGCTGTGACTGTGACAATCCTAGCCACTTCTCTCTTAGAGATTTTCCTTGGCGATCCCGCAGCCATCGCTCCGTCGTTACGCGATCGTGGGCTCCATTGAGTTCCTCAGTAGCGAACAGTTTTCCTCGAGGGGATACGGCCGGCGGCGACAGTGTCGTGATCCAGTTATAGAAGCTTTTATGCGCCCTCATTGAGGCCGCCCACTTTTGGTGAATGAATGGTTGCTCGGTGGCGTCGTGTTTTCAAATTTGGTGTGTTAGTGACCTCACTATTGTTTTGTTTATGTCTCGGTGCTCCAAAGTTCGGTGCTCCGTAGTTTCTCCCGTCTCGCCGCGAGCGAAACCCGTGGGGTCCTCCTTTCCTGCATAATTGGATACTATAAATCAGTCAAGGGTTATTAAATGAGACCCCTACCGAAAGTCAGAGAGATTGTATAGGCTGAAATTGTTTTATAGCAGAATTGAAGAGAAGGTTGCCGAAAGCTTGCGCAGCTACCGTAAAAAGACTATTAGACCAGACAAAAGTATCTACATCAAACCAAGCCAGACAGCTCGGCAGCGAGATTGGATAGCACTGTAAGCAGACAACTTTGTCCTTCTTATAGCATCAGCTTATACCAATTATCAGAAGAGAACGAAGGACTCAGGTCCTTTCGAGATAGAAGTATTCGTGTTAGCAGCGAAGAAAGAGCGGCGTACCTTACCGGAACAAGACGTGCAACAGCCGCCAGGGCCCAAGGAGCGGCATCTACTATCGACAGCTATTTGGAGCAGCGACCAGAGCTCCAAGTAGATTAAATTGCGTGGACACATTGGTCGATCTCATATGCCCGTCAGCCTGAAAGAACTGTCGTTGCTGTCCCTGACTCAGCAACAATCTCACAGGCCCAGCACCTTGACTTAATGATGGCCAAGAAGAAGGACGAGGAGGAAACCATATATGATACCGTGAATGTGCAAATTAACGGATCTCGTGGGATACCACTAACATTCCGCTTACCAGAGTTCCGCCGCATTATGTGATTGCCCAATCACAAGCTTCTGGCAAGTGGGGTCTTTGCGTCGTTTGTTCCTCCGCCTAAGCCAGATGGGAATGTCGATGATGTCGAGCACATGAGCGATTAGCGCATGAACACCATAATTTTAGGCTATACAATGCATTCAATCTGATTTATTCTCGCTTCGCTCGACAAAATTGCTCCACTCACCCACCCCACCCTCCTTCCTCCCGCCTCCCCGCGAAACTCTTCTCAGCAACGTTAACGCCTCATAAAGCGTATCTACAATGGTGGGACTGATTCTAGTCGTGTTGGACGCTCCGCACACATCGTTTCATTGCCAATTTCAGTACCAATTCGGGGTACTGAGGAAATATCAAATTGGCGTGCTGTTGTATCCAGTTCTTCAATCGGCCGAACATGACCTCGACGGTGTTGAGGTGTGCACAATAGAGAGGCAGATACGGCGTCATAGCTCTCCAGCGATGCACCACTGCGTATATCGCTTTGTGCATGTGTATCAGGACATTGTCCATCACCACGATAGGCCTTTGCAGCGGCCACGGGTTCAGGCGTTTCACCATTTACCTATCAAAGGCTCGGTGGAAGAGCTGACGAGTGGAGGTTCCGCTAGTCGTATCCCACGCCACGAAGCCGCGCACATCACACGCCTCTATGATAGGCACACGCTTGGCTCTCTTGAATGGAACCGGCTCCACAGCCCTATCACCTCTAGTAGACCAAGCGTATCTCCTCATTGAATCCATGCCGTTCTTGGACGTCTGGCCGAGGAATATCAGTTGGTTTAGATAGCTGTAGAAGCTTCTCGACTTGGCTAGGTACGTGTCCACCTCAAATGGCAGTGCCTCTCTTTCACGGTGCTGTAATAACTTCCATTAAATATTCAGCTCGCAGCGGAGCCAACAAAGTACGCACATCGACGAAAAAAGTCGCCGTTGCTCAGGAAGCCGTCGTTTCACCTACACTAGCAGCTCTTCGACGTAGAAGCAGGGGTGATCTTTAGCGTAGAAATCCACAAACGACACGACAACCGCAGGGTATACCGGACGCGCTTCTCTCTCCTTTGGTAGCACGTGGCCAGTTTCCACGAACTGCGTATACCATCGACGAACAGCACACCCAGAAACTCCTAACACGCACATTACAACCTCGCATGGCACAACGTATGCGTAATGTAGAGTTTCCGCGCGCCACTTGTAGTCAGCTGAGTACATCGTCGTTTGCAAGTTCGTAATGAAGGGAGAGTGTCTGAATGGGAGAGAGATAGTTTATTCTGAGTTGGTTTAAGTACGATTCTAAGTCATTGTTACGACAAAAGCAAAACTCCGATTTAAAAGACAACTTGAGCTTACTAACGGTTTTCTTGGATGGGCGTTCCTACAAGTTTTTACAATAAAAAAGCTTAACACCTTCTACCCGAACTGTACTCGCCTCAGACGACTAAGCGTATGTCGTATAATACGACGTACACTGTCACTAGGTATTTGTATGGGCCATCTGCTTATCTTTAGGATTGGAGTATAAATTGTCAACAGTTTTCCGCACAATGTTGTATGACTTACACCATTGAGATAGATAAAGCGCAGATCAATGTCGTAAGTGACCCCAACAGCATTCATCAGACGGACGACAAGACGCGCTTCTCAGCTACTCATTTCAGAAACGAAGCAAAAGAAAGAACGTCGACTCAAGAACCTCTGCATTCAACCTCACGACACTAATCACTCAACAAATGACACACCGCAGAGGTTCCGTCGCCACTCCCTCACTTTCAGCATCGTCGCCGCCCCCACACTCGCTTCCTTCCTCGCGGCGAAGGTGGAGTTCACGTCGGGTCTTCTTGCGCTTCCCCGCTTTCTGGCCGGGCCTGCGCAGCACGACTCGTTTCCCCAAGTTGCTGGGAATGTTCTCCCCGGCCCCGAAGTCCTCATGCCATATCTCAAAACAAGTCTTGAGTACGCCGTTGTATTCGCGGCGGATCCTATTGCAGAGCCAGCACTTGGCGTCGTCCAGCGAACAACGCTCGCAAAAATAAGTCGTCGCGAAGGACTTCTTCTACTGTGTCCGCAAGCGTGCACAGACCTTGCACGACCGTTAGCGGCGCTTCTGAACGCCGCTAATAGTGACCCAGTCTTCGGCCTGTTGAAGGGCGTGCGTCAGGCGGAGAGGTGTACTCCTGCGCCTCTGGCTGGATGGAGGCGGCAAAGGGTGTATCCCTGCGAAGTCCTCGGCCTTGAGCTGCAAGAGCTGGTTCTGGAGGACCGCAAACGACTCAGCCCTTTGCATGGCTCAAGTACGCGTTCACTAACGCAAGATCCAAGAAGCCCAAGAACAGCCCCTTGTAGTACTTTGTGAATCGCGTGGACATTTGCAAAGAGTAGCTCTGGAGGCGGAGTTGATCGTGGCGATCAACTCCGCCCATCCAGTTTTGGTAGTCTTTTACGGCCTGGGGGCACCCTCCTTGGATCGAACCAACCCGCTTGATTTTCCGCTCGAGAATAGACGGCGTCATGGCCGAACCTGTGCAGAGATAGTAGACCGGTTTGCGGTCCCATCATACGCTCGATATCATGGTGGGCGCTGCGACCGAGCGCAAGAATAGAAACGAGCCACGGGGTATACTTGCTGGGTGGGTCTTTCACTTGGACAGTATTGCCTTGTTGAACCCCAAGCGGTTCGTCTGGATTGTGCCCACCACGTAAACCTTCATCTTCAGCAGCTCTATAGCCAGGAGAACGGATGAGTAGAACCTGTCTACCACGACCGCATGCCAGGCGTGGCGTGATTTAGGTGAGAACACAGCCGACAGATTCCGTAGTACGGCAGCTGCGCCAGTCTTGAAGTCAATTGGATTGTCGACGCCCTCCCGCTTGCCAACATAAACTTCAAATCTACAACGAATACAACATAAAAAGCTGTTAAAATGTCTGCAAGGCGTAACTTACGACATAATAGAATATACCTGTGGCAGTACGCCGTCTTTGCGTCACACAGCATAAATATTTTTGAGCCGTAACGATGCAGCTTGTCCGACATGAAAATGCGAGTGGGGTTGCGCATCGACGTGGCGGGTAGGACGCCTTCGTCGAAGGACACATGGCTGGTAGTGACCAAGCTGACAAGAATCGTTCTTGCATCTTATCCAATATAGGCCGCAGCTTCCACAGCTTGTCGCGGCCGTGGTCTACCGTATTGTCCACAAAGTGAAGATCCCGAAGGATGTTGATGCAGCGGTCACGGCTCATGTACCGCCCGAAGAGTCCGGCTGGTATGGCGCCGCCCTCGACCATGGACCAATGCGCACCGAAGCGCCTCTTCTGGTGCCACCAGAAGCCCAACTACAAGTAGGACCTCGTGTGCGTCGTAAGCTTCCTTTGCCCTCAACCGACGAGCTATTTGGGCTGCGGTCTCCCGCTGGCACCCGAACTGCCGCGCAGCCATCTTTTTTGCTCGTTGGGCCACTTGTTGCAAGCAGTAACGATTGGTCTCGGTGGCAATCGAGACCCAGAGCGACTTCGGCAAGAAGTAAAACAGTGTCAGGAGTGGGGACCGCCACAGGTCCAGCAGCTCACCAACCGGCCTTGCCTTCTCCGCACCCAAACCCGGGTACGGAGTAGTGTTCGTCTCGAAATCGGTCGAGGCTGCAGTCCACTGCATCGCCCGCAACGTGTTCTCGCGTTCCTCCGGATCAGCTCTAGATAAACCACCGTCGCCAACATGCAGTGACGCGAGGAACGCTTGATTAATTTCCTCCGCGTCACTGTCAGAGAGCTCATCACCACCTCGTTCATTGATTCGCCACCAGAATCGCGGTAGTCATCAGCGACAGCAGCACCATCGCTCTCATCCCCCGAGCTCAATTCGTCGTAGTCACAACTGTTCTCCCAGTTCTGCAGTACGTTCACGTCCGCGGTCGGTTGTGCAGGTATCCGGTGTCGCCGTGGCGGGGCAGCGGAGGGAGCGACAGCACGTTCGTCCTCCCGCTCACTCTCCAGCCCTGACGGTTCCGACAGCAAGTGAAAGCTAGCAGCTGCGTCGCATTGCCCCTCCTCCGCGTGTAAATCTCGTTGCGAGATATCGAACGCGTTGGCTACAGCATTCTGCGAAAGCTCAACCCCCGATGCATCGGAGTCCGAGCCTAATACCTGCTCGACGGTATTCTGCGAAAGCAGAACAGAAGTGTCTATCCGCGAGGGACGAATGGTAGCGTCGTCAGTGCCACCTTCGCCGTGTCCGTCATGCTCAGCAGCGTCGTCAGTGCCACCGTGTCCGATATGCTCAGCAGCATCGTCAGCGCCACCGTGTCTGTCACACTCAGCAGCGTCGTCAGTGCCACCGTGTCCGTCATGCTCAGAAGCGTCGTCAGTGCCACCGTGTCCGTCACGCTTATCAGCGTCGTCTGCTCCGGCCTCGACGGAATCGTCCTCGCCGTCAACAAGTAAGCCCGTCTTGAATGCAAATTCCACAACAGCCCGTTCACCAGCCAGCACGTCGTCTGTTGGACTCGCATAGGTCCACTCGGTCTGGATACCCGTCGGCCGCTTCGATGTCCACCCCGCCGCCTTCATCTGTCGCCATAGGTGTCCAAAGTCGATGTCATGTGCTGCATTGGCTGGGGCGGCGGGGGTGGTGGCTTTTTCGTGGCGACTCGCTCGCATCGTGTCCGGCTGGCAAATTCTCTAATGAGTGGCTTGCCAGGCAGTGCCCAGACCAAGTCTCCCCATCCTGGTTTCTTTCCCACCGGGAATCCTAGTCCCGGTTTTGTGATCATCTTGCAAAAACCTCTTGCAGCTTATATGTTTTGGTTGAATTTGATTAAAATATGGAAAAAGTCTCCTAGCCATCTTTCAAGATAAATCCCTCGATGTCGTAACTTACGACATAAAAAAGCTACGGTGTATCTTACGACGTTAGTAAGGAAGGTGCTAAAAGACGTTTTATTTAATTTAATATATAAAATTGAACAGGATAATGAGACTATATATATATTAGTATCCTGTTAGTATTATACATATCGTGTGAAAAGTTTTAAAGTGAGCCACTCAAAATACGTTCAGACAACGAACTCTTACAGAGCAAATGATAGTCACCTGGGTCGAGCGTTGGATCCATTAGAATCGCACACGGCTCCACTTGAATACTTCGACAGAAGTTTTTTTTTGGCTCTATCCAGCGCACTTCCAGACGAACGACTCGGAGTTCTGAAATTGTTGGTATTTGCTGGCTGCTTGAAATTTGATTCAGTTCGTTGATGTATGCTGCGATCGCTATCGTTGTCGTCGTTGTCACTGATGATATCACTCGTGTTACTTAGGCTGTCACTGACATCACTTGCATCTTCACCGCTGAGTGTGATCAATAAGCACCAGCGACGTAATTGACCCCACCGAAGCCTTCCGTGCTTTTACCGTAGTGGTTGCTGGGTTCTGATGTTTACGTGATTTACTTAAATAATGTAAGTTCTCGTGCATTTCAGTAGGATATTGCAGTAATTGCGGCAAACTTTAATATTCCTCGTGGTTGGTTTGCCGCTGTTATTACTGTCTTGGAAGGAGGTTCAGTATTGTACTACATTGGAGAAGGCATGCTCCAGCCGCTCGCCTACCTGGCCGCCTATAATTTGAGATAGTTTTGCCCTGTTCAAAATATCCGGGTTTGTCAGCATCGTTGCAAATTGCCTTGTGCATACTATAAAAAAAACTGATGCTGGTGTTCCGCTTGCAGTGAGGTCCTGCTTTTAATTGCCTGACTTTAATCCCTAGCAGACTGCATTAATATTCTGTACTCACATACTGTAAAAACACACGGTATTTGTGATGGGGTCACACAGCACCTTGCGCCGAGGAAGCAGGCTTCCAAGAGTATACAAACTCTAAGTGAACGACAACACACGTATCCCTGGTCTGAGGAAACGAAGTACTCAGTTAAGGGTACGTTTAAGACTGATTGTATTTATAGGTAAGCTTAGCTTGGTTTCTAATACAAACTCTAAGTCACCATTAGAAAAGCTATGTAGATAAGCAATGGTTGGCTCCTAGAGCCTCTGGTACCATGTACCAATTATTACAAGAGTGACAGGTCACTCGTCATGTACCTTGGGTACACTTGGGTTCGTACCCCGTTACAGTACTCCCACTGCATAACTGACACACTGAACAAACACACTGTACTCGCACTGCATAAATCGGTACCAAGTGTCAGTACAGACGTAATGTCCAACTGTAGTGGCAAATGTTCGGATGCGCTGTATTCTAGAGTGTTGTACGAATGATTGCCCATGTTATGCTCAAGCAGAACCGTGGAATTAACCTTTCCATCCCTCATTCTTCGATATTCCTCGTATAATATTCACGCGATACATGCGCCGCGAGTGTATATTAGTTTATTCGCTGAGAGTTTTTTAATACTATTATATTCGCTTCGGGATAATTACTATTGGAAGTGCTACGTTGAAACTACACTTTTCGTATCTATTTTCCAAATCACAGTATTTACTTAAGTATATCCAACTAACCACGATTCCAGCACCACTCGACACGATAGATCGGTCTTATGGGTGCAGCTCTATCGTCTTGAGCAACGCAACGATTTCACGAGAGTCCAAATGTGACACTACCGGATGGTGGTCTGTCCCCCATTAGTTTTCGGAGTGATTATTGCCACATACGTTTGTGGCTGGTTTGTGGTTAGTAATAATTTTGTGTGTAATAATTTTGTAGTGAAAATAGTGAGTCATCAGTAAGAGAAATGATATTAAGATTACGAATTTCTTCACATTTTGATACTGTACGATAGGCAGAATATCTATAACAACAATATTGAGTACTGATAGCGCGGATTAGCTTAAAACCTATGCAGAGTTTTTTCGAGGTTCTTGGACAGGTTTGGCTGCTGGTTGCTAGACCACGATGCTTCACACACGTTGACGACGTCCTTACCGTCCGTGAGATCGACGTAGATGTCGTTGGGTGTGGTCTGGACGTTGTTGGTACCCACAGGTCCCACTGGTCACTATCATTACACACCACGACCAGACAACAATCATTTTCTTGACGACGATCTGGCGAGGGTGTTGCTTCAAGACCGATAGAGCGTACCGATCTCCTGTGCGAAAATGCCTTTGATTTGGACGGTGCCGTAGTGTAGCCGAAGTGCTACACCACCGTTTCCTCGGTGTAGTGCCGTAGTTGGCCATGAGTGTTACACTGGAGATGGCGCCGCTCTTGATGCTCAGTGCGTTGTCGCACATCGTCTCACCAAAGTTTCTCGATAGTTCAGTCGATGTACAGTGGATACTTCCTCTTGCACGGGCATTCCTGATCGTGCCGACACTCTCAATGAGAAACACGGTCTT